CTGGTCATGCTCCCACACATGCCAGCATTAAGCTCTTGCTGATCTCTGTCTCTCTAGCCTAGGGCTGGTGGGTAGCTGAGTGCTTGTCCTGTCCTTCAGCGAGTAAGGCAGGACTAGCCCAAACCAGTAGCTTTTATGGTTCAGCTCTGTGCTTGCCACAGACAGTCTTAAAGTGGAGCTGCAAGTCATGCAGCACTGTCATTTGCCCTCGTTCCTGGCTGACACTGTATCTCTCCCTCTTCTTTGCAGCCCACAGACATCGACAAAGGTGAGTTAAGTGGTGTGGACATTTGAGTGAGGCTGGACACTTGAGTGAGGCCGGTTGCAGACTGCAGAACTGCTTGGCTTGTTGGCCTGCGTGAGCTCCCTGCTCTGACAGAGACTGCTGTGACAGAGGGAACCCTTGCTGTGAGGGCTTTGGGGTGAAAAGTCATGTGCCTGCAGGCTGGTGCGTGCCAGCTGAGTGTGTGTGCAGATCCTTCCTGGGCAGCAGAGCAGCTTGAACAACCTTATGTTGGCTGTAAGCTGAGGGGGGTTCAGGATCTCCTGGGATCCGCCTGCCCCTGTCTGCGCGTAAACTCGTTTGCTGCTCCTCGGTGTTCTCCTGGCTCTTCTCCTACCTCATGTGTACCCTGTCCTTCTCCCTGTTGCCCTGTCCCAATGACATGGTTGTGCAGAAAGGGGCTCTGCGCAGCCCCAGGTGTACTGCAGTGAGGTGTTTCTCCCCCAAAACTCAGCCTGCTGCTCTCTCTGTCCCAGGACCCGGCTCAGCCAAGGAGCTCATCAAGTCCATCAACGAGAAGTTTGCTGGAGCTACTGGCTGGGAAGGAGCAGAGTCATATCCTTTCCTGTCTGTTCCAGCCTGGCTGACTGCGGGGCCAGGCTTCCCTTGCCTTGCCCAAGCATGGCTGTGTGGCTGTCCTTCCTCACTTGGGAGGGCTCTTCCTCCTGTAGCTCATACGACAAAGATAAGCTCTGCAGCTTGCGATGTGGTTCTGTTGGGGCAGGAGATGGCTCTTTGGGGCTGTGCTCTTAGCTGTAAGGCCACGTGATGTTGCTTTCCTTGACTGTTGTCACATTGAAGAAGCCAGAAGACAAGAAGCAGCTGGGGGACTTCTTTGGCATGTCAAACAGCTACGCCGAGTGCTACCCTGCTACGTAAGGAAGCAGCAAGAAGCTGTGGTTTGGGAGCAGGGTGTGCAAAGGGGCTGCTGTTCTCTGGCAGCAAGAACTTCAACACCTTGTTCGGAGGAACAGGCTTGCCTTTGTCTGGGGTTGCAACCTACTGTTAAAATGCTTCCCAAGACCTTGGTTCTGGCAGACCTGGCCTTTTCTTACCTGGGCTTTGTTGTAAATGCTACTAGGAGTCTGCTGCCCCTCAGTGCCAGGGAGAGGCCAGGGTGGGGGGGGGCTCCCTGGTTCCCTGGTAGTTCATGTGCTTGTGCTCTGGCTGCAAAGCAGTCCCTCAACAGAAGAGGAACAGCTTTCAGCCTGCAGAGTCATCTTAGTGTTTGTAGTCTTGGTTGCACTTGTGGTACAGCTCACCTGTGTGGCCTGAAGTTGGAGGAACTTCTCTCTAGTCCAGGAACTGAGCATGTTCAGTCTGAGGCTGTGAGAGATGGCTCCAAGGTCCTGATCCATGTCCTGTGGACCTGCTCCAAACCCTTTCCCTGCTTTGCTTTTCTTTACAGAATGGATGATATGGCTGTGGACAGCGATGAAGAAGTGGACTACAGCAAAATGGATCAGGTATGCTGTCACCAGCTTCTAGGACCAGCCAGTGAACTAAGCATCAGTGCAGGCTGAGAGGATCCCACTGGAGAGGAGCAGCAGGTTGAATGCCCTGGAGCTGGGGGATGAATGTGTTTTGAGGTTTGCTGATCTGCTGTGTGCTTGGATCTGGGTGGGATCTGTCGTCCCAGGGAGTAAACATGGCACTTGACAAAGAGGTGCTGGGGAGGTGTCCTATTCCATCTCAACTCGCTCTTCCACAGAATCTGTCTGGGGCTTCTTGGGGAGGGGATCTCGGAACCAAGGCCAGACTGGGTGCGCAGTCCCATTGAACTGGGGTCGATGGGAGGTTGAGATGTTTCCTGGGTATGTGAGAAGCCCTGGCTGGTGTCAGCTGAAGGAGCTTCTCTGAGTTGTTCTTTTGCTGCAGGGTAACAAGAAAGGACCTCTGGGCCGCTGGGACTTTGACACCCAGGAGGAGTACAGCGAATACATGAACAACAAAGAAGCTCTGCCCAAGTAAGTGCAGCCCTTGGGATGGGCTGAGGAAGGATTCTGGGTGGGGGTGGCAGTACTGGCCAAACCCAGGTCCTGGGAGAGCTTAAATTGAGAAGGGGGTTCCTCTGGTGAGGACCTGAGGAGGAACTGTGGATCCTGGGCCTGGTGGCTTGTCTTTGCTCTTAGTGTCACTCTCAAGGACTCCTGCCCAGCTGCTGCTTTCAGAGGCCCAAGCTGGCTCTGGAGGATGAGCTCATGGCTGGGGCAGATGTGTCTGTTCCCCCAGCAGGCCATAGATCCCCTGTGAGCACTGAGCTCTGTCTCACTCCTTCCTCAGGGCAGCCTTCCAGTATGGGATCAAGATGTCCGAGGGACGCAAAACCCGTCGCTTCAAGGAGACAAATGACAAGGCAGAGCTGGACCGGCAGTGGAAGAAGATCAGTGCGGTGAGTGGCTGGTGCTGGGATATCAACTGCAGGCCAAGAGCTGCCAGCGTAGCCCAGAAGAGCTCCCACCTAGTCCTGCCCTCCCTGCCATAGGCACGGCTCTTGGGTCCAGCCCCCTGGGAGCAGTCATGACAGGGAAGCTTTTTGCACTGGGCTCTGGGGCACATGAACGTGTCCAAAACCAGCAGCTCTGAGCCATCCAAAGGGGCTTGGGAGGGATGAGGCATCTTTAGCAGATCCCTGTTTTCTAACTGGCAGAGCTGGAGGTTGTCCTGTCAGGGTGAGCTGGCTGTGAGCACCCCAACAGTAGGGGTTGGGCTAGGGGAAGGTGGGAAACAGATGATCCTTGATGGCCAAAATGGAGCAAAGGGGGAACAGGCCAAACTTTTCCTGACTTCAGGCAGCTTGTGGACAGGTTTAGCTGACATCAGCTTGCTCTGGCCTGGCTGCAGCTCTCCCTGGGTGTATCTTGCACCCTACAGCCCTTTTGCTGCGGTTGAGGGCAGCCATCTACCCTCAGGGTAACGGGCCTTTGTGCTTTCTCTGCAGATCATCGAGAAGAGGAAGAAGTTGGAGGCTGATGGGTTAGTGAAGTTGTCTGTGCTCTGGGCTCACACTGGGGCCTGGTTGTCTCCTGCCACCTCTCCCTGGGACTGCACCAGACAGACCTCCCTGCCAGCTCTCAGCAGTGGGGCTGAAAGGAGAGCAGAGAATATTTGATCCCCTGGGGGTGCTGCTGCCCCCTGCTCAGCTCAGCAAAGCCTGCAGTGCACTTCTCCCCTGGGCCGTGGGTGGGTGCTGAGCAGACCCCAGCGCGGGTGGTTCTTGCCCCCTCCAGCTGGGTGCCTTCAGGATTGGTTGGGCCCCCCCCACTGTTCGGTGGGGTGAAACTGGACCTCGGTGCTGAGCTCTGGAGGGGAGGAGGATGAAGCAGTCTGCTCTGCATCCTCACCTCCATTCTCCCCCTCTTTGTCTCTTCCAGGGTTGAGGTGAAACGGCCCAAGTACTGATGCCTCCAGTATCTTCTCCTCCAGCTCCTGGAAGCCTGGCCTGCTGGATGCTGCCTTCCCAGAGCTTGCTGGTGTGCTCTCCTTGCCCCCAATGCCATCCACTTTCTGGTCTGGCCTGGGCAGCACGTGCCCCCCAAGCTGGGCGCTATGGGGCTGTGCTGAGGCTCTCTTCCCCTCCAGTCTTTGCTGTAGAGCCTGTGGTGTGTAAATGTTTTAACTGTAATAAACCACATTAAATTTGTGTGAAGGTCTGTTTGTGTGGGCAGAGGGAAGGGGCCTGGGCTGGGCTCAGATCACCAGAGCTGCTGGTGCCCTGTGGGTCTCACAGGTCATGCCCTTGCTAAGGTTATTTATTGTGGGAGCCTTTTCGGGTGGGACCAGCAGCCCTTGTCAAACCCTGAATATGATTAGCAAATCAGCCTGTTTGGGAAATAATCCCAGCTGAGCAACCTGGGGGAAGAAATCTTAGAATCATGGAATGTTGTGAACTGGAAGGGACCCACAAGGATCATGGAGTCCAACTCCTGTCCCTGCACAGGACAATCCCAACATTCAGACCATGTGTCTGAGGGCCTTGACCAAATGCTTCTGCAATCTTGTCAGGCTTGGTGCCATGAGCACCTCCCTGGGGAGCCTGTCCCAGTGCTCCACCACCCTCTGCCTCAAGAACCTTTTCCTCATGGCCAACCTCAGCCTCCCCTGGCACATCTTCCTGCCATTTCCTCTGCTCCTGGTGTTGGTGGCCAGAGAGAAGAGATCAGCGCCTGCCCCTCCTCTTCCCCTTGGGAGGAAGTTCTAGACTGTGATGAGATCTCTTCTTAGTCTCCTCTTCTCCAGGCTGAACAAACCAAATGACTTCAGCCTCTCCTCATACAGCTTCCCCTCATAGACTGGAGAGAAGGATGCTTGGATGTGTTGAGGTGGGAGGAGGATGCTGGAGGCGGCTGATGCTGGGGTGCACATAGCAGGAGCTGGTGGTGCTGGGCCTGTGAGTGCTGCAGAGGGTGGGGGGACTCAAGGTGGGGGGACTGGGGAGGCAGATGCTGACAGTAACAGAGGGCGTGGGAGGCAGAGAATGGTGGAGGTGTTGGGCATGCTGAGATTGGGGTGCTTGTAGGAAGTGGGAACTACTGGAGAGGAGCAGGGAATGCTCCTCTGGCTGCTGTGGGAAACTGGGAACGTAGTGGATGTGTTGAGGCTGGGGGAGTCTGGATGTACTGGGAACGCCGAGGCTGAAGTTATTGAAGAAGGCCTGTTGGCTGGGCACGGCAGAGGTGGTCTTACCCCCAGCTCCCTCCTTGTTCCCTCCCCAGATCGCGAAGGAGGTGGCGAAGCTGCTGGAGATGAAGGCACAGCTGGGGGGGGATGAGGGGAAACACAAGTTTGTGCTCAAGACCCCAAAGGTAACTTCCTCGGGCACATGCCCTCGCGTGCCTCGCTGCATGCACGACCTGCTCGCACAGAGCCTGCCCCGCACCTGTGTGTGCAAAAACTCAGCAAAACCTCTCTAGTTTTGTTCTCATTTCTGTTTCCCTTTTCGCTCTTAGCAGCAAGGGATGGGTGAAAACATCCCTGACAGCATCTGACCCACACACCCTACTAACTGAAAGATTTCCTGATGCTTCTGTGACAAAGCAACCACTAGCTGGTGTGGTCTGGAAATTAAATTCCCTTTTGGTCAAGTTTTATTGTAGCTTCCCAGTGCTAGAGGTCTCATATCTGCCTGGATTGCACTGTTTGAAGTAAGGTCATGACTCACATCACCCCAATGAGCTGAGGGCTCAGACTCTTCAGCACTAGTAGCACTGACCCCACTAGTGCTCTGATGGATCAAGGATCCTCAAGCTGGTCCTGTTCGCGTTTAGGGGAAGGACAGAGCAGATGAAGCTGCTGGTAGGTTGGGTGAGCACAGAGTGGTGCCAAGTGCAGCTCTGCTGGTGCAAGGCTTGGTGTGGGGCAACTGCAAAGCATAAGCTGGCTAAAGAAACCCAGGTGCCTGGCAGTGTTTGTCCCAAGTGTTCAGCACATGTTGAAATGTGAGCAAGAGAGCTCTTGTGGCTTTTGATCATGCCTTAGTCTGTGGAAGTGGGTAATCCTGTTTACCGAGCAGCTCTGACCAGCTGTTGACCTTTTTGCGTCTTCTTGCAGAAGGCCCCTTCCTTCAGGGGCAGTTTTTCAGTCCCCAGGACCCTGAGAATAGTGTCCAGAATGGAATTTATGCTGATATTTTTTGTAACCTGAATGTTTCATCACTAGCAGCTGACTAGAGACCAACTACACTTTTGTGCTATGGTGTAGACAGTTATGAATGCCACTCATAAATAAAACAGGCTATGTTAATGCTACTGACTTAGGAAATACCTCAAAACTGTCTTCCTTGTCCATTTCCTTAATTGCATGTTTTGGGAAATGTAGCTGTGGTGTGAGACCTGGTAAATGGAAGAGTATTTCACTGTTTAAAGATGTGGAGAGAGGATTTTGCAGCTCTGTGAGTGCCAGAGAAACACAGCTGGGGTTTTCAGTCTGTCTCAGCCACGTCGGTGTAGTGCTGAGAGCTGCTCTTCGCCCTGCGACCTGCAGGTGGGGTGTTAAGAAGCACCTGCTCTCTGCTTCCTCCTGCCTGCCAGCTCCTAGAAAATGAAAGTGAGAGGTCTAGTTAATTAACAGTTAACTGTGTTGCTGACAGCCTAAAGGTGGTCATCAAAATAATTCAGTAACTCTTAACTAAAAGGGAACACATCCCAGTGAATAGTAGATAGGTGTTGCACTTTGAAAAGCTAATTTCTCTCTGTGTGTGTTTGGAAATTGTAGCACTGCTGGTTATTCCATGGCTTCAAAGCATGCCTGTCCTCTGATTCCACCTCTCGGGGTGGCTTGTTGTGCAGGGGTCTGGCTAATATGTCCGAATCGGAGCTGTGGACAGATCCTAGCTGTGCTGTCGTGATCAAAAGGACTGAACTCTCCGACTCTTGCATCTGTGTTAGCTCCTTTGTTTCCTGCAATGTGAAACTTCTGACTTAGGTTTAGTTCTGCAGATAGCATCTGAGCTGTGTCCTGATGTTTTCCAGTGTTTTTTGGTGCTGCTTTTTACCACCTCTCCTGATATGTGGTGTCTGGACCTCGTCTCTCTGGTTTTGTTAGCATCATGATAGCTTCTCCACATTGCCTCTCACGTCTGTCTCCACTGCATGCCTCTAACCCCGTGTGTTCTTTTCTTTTCCTTCTCTCACCCCAGGGCACACGGGACTACAGCCCCAAGCAAATGGCCATTCGTGAGAGAGTCTTCAATGCGATCATCACCTGCTTCAAGCGCCATGGAGCAGAAGTCATTGATACACCTGTGTTTGAGCTGAAGGTGAGTGAGGACACAGCAAGCTGGCTGAGCTGATGAGGATCCTGCAGTTGAAAGCTTGCGATGTGTTGAGGGCTGAGTTTTCTTCTTCCATCTCCTAGGTGTCCTCCCTTTCTCTCTTTGTTTTCTGTGTGCTCTAGGGCTGATCCCCTGTTACTGAAGATGCTGTTTGTTCGTGTGTCCTTTTGTTGTAGGAGACACTGACAGGGAAATATGGTGAAGACTCGAAGCTCATCTATGATCTGAAAGATCAAGGAGGAGAGCTGCTGTCACTGCGCTACGACCTGACAGTATCCACTGCCACAGCCAGTGCTGAGGGGTCTTGTCAACTTTGCTGCCTTCCTTTTGGGGCAGCGCTGTCCAGAGGGCAAGGGAGGAGGAGGGAGGGCAGTCTCTTGGCTCTGACCCCATGCTGACAGAGAGAACACGAGCAGGCAGGGTGGTTTGGTGGGCGCAGAACCCTTGCTCAGTTATTTACTGCTCGTTGCTTCTGTTCGGCACAGTAACGCTTGTACGTGGAGGTAAGGAAGGTCTGTATTGAGCGGGGTTTCTCCTGCAGCAGGGTACCCAGATGGCTGCTGTGGTACACAGCCCACACGAGACTGAGATCCCACCCAAGGTGGTGCTGGAAGATGCCTGTAGGAACACTCAATGGCAGCACCTACAGGCTGTGTCTTGGACAAGCTAGAGAGACCTTGGGGAGCTGTGCCACATCCGGTTGTTTCTTATCAGTTGCTTTGCCCCACGGGTGTGTGCTGCACTGTGCTGGGTGTTGGGGAGATAGTGAGGACCCAGCAGTGCCTGTGACTGGCTGGGGTGATCCCTCCCTGTTCCCATCCTTAACCCTGCCATCTCAGGTGCCCTTCGCTCGCTATTTGGCGATGAACAAAATCACCAACATTAAGCGCTACCACATTGCAAAGGTCTACAGGCGGGACAACCCAGCCATGACCAGGGGCCGCTACAGGGAGTTCTACCAGTGTGTGAGTCTGGCCGTGGACAGTGACACTGCTGAGTGGTTGGGCAGCGTTTGTGGGGACGTAGGATCAAAGGTTGTGTCACCCTGCAGTGGCGTTCCCTGTGGCTGTGGAAAGCTTAGGAGGATCCACTAATCTGCTCCTTAGCCTGCCCTTATGGGTGTGAAAATCAGCTTGAGAGTGGGGACAATGGCTGTGACAAAGGGCATTGGTGTATCAGGGAACTTTGTAACACAGCCCCCAGGTGTCCCGGGTATCTCTGTGGAGGAGAATCACAGACTGGTTTAGGTTGGAAGGAACCTTAAAGCTCATCCAGTTCCAACCCCCCTGCCATCAGCAGGGACACCTTCCACTAGACCAGGTTGCTCAAAGCCTCATCCAACCTGGCCTTCAACACTTCCAGGGAGGAGCAACCACAGCTTCTCTGGGCAACCTGGGCCAGTGTCTGACCACCCTCACACCAAAGAATTTCTTTTTCGCATCTCATCTCCATCTCTCCTCTTCCAGTTTCAAGCCATCACCCCTTGTTCTGTCACTCCCTATCCTTGTCCAAAGTCCCTCCCCAGCCTTCCTGGAGCCCCTTCAGGTACTGGAACGCCACTAGAAGGTCTCCCCAGAGCCTTCTCTTCTCCAGGCTGAACAGCCCCAACTCTCAGCCTGTCCTCATAGGAGAGGTGCTCCAGCCCTTGCATCATCCTTGTGTCCTCCTCTGGACTTGCTCTAATAGGTCTGCGTCCTTCTTGTGTTGGGGGAGGGCAGTTCCTTGCTCCATCCCACAGTGCTAGCTGGTGGAGGGGAAGAATTTCCTTCTGATCCCGAATCTGTCAATAGTTGAACTCCTGGATGTGTTAGCAGGACACATGAACCATGTGAGCAAGTGACTCAGCTGTAGCATATGCTACTTCTGTCCCATGCTTAGTCAATCTTTATTTCAAAGGAAGGGAAAAAACCCAGAGGCCAAATTACAGAACAGGTAAGAAGGCAATTTCCTTTGTGGCTTTCTCAGATGAGTGTGGTTGCCCCGAGGAATGCCTTTGTTCCATTGTACTAACACAGTCCCCAGGACCTCACTTTGCAAACAAATTCCTGTTTGAGAATATTCTTGTTTCATCATAAAACCTCTGTGGATACCTACCAGTTCCAGCTTGGTGAATTCCCATTTCCAGACAACTTGGGGGCTTTTCCTGCTGTCTCATCTGAAAGACTGTTCCAAGGTCTCCCTCCTAGGATAGCTAGCAACAGTCTTCTGATATCCAGGTTAAACCTACTTGTGTCTGATATTTTACTCCCTGTGCTGGTGCAGCACTTTAAAAGGTAGCTGTCATCCCTTGATATGGATTCTTCCCCTTTCCCTGATAAACATTTGGGAAATGTTTAGAGAAATCTTCCCCTCCTTATGCCACCTAAATCAAGCTCTGTTACCTTCTCTCCCTGGAGATACTTTGCTTCTTTGCTCAGCCTAGTAGCTTTTTCTGCATTTTTTCTTAAATATAATTCACCAGCCCTTGGTTGGCTTTTTTTCTCTGAGATTTCACTACCACATACAGTGGTAGTGGCACTTCCCTGGCTGTACCAGACCTTGACCAACTTCTTTGGGGATTGCATCAGCCTTTCTTGCACTCAGCTGATGAGGATTAACTGATGTGATCTCATCTCTTTCCTCCTCCATTGCCCCAATTTATTTTGGAAGCTTGGTGAAGCCATGTTGAAATGTATCTGCTTAATTATAATTATTCTTGTACTCAAAGTCTCGTTGAAGACTTTGCATTTGGGGATTCATAAATGTGAGTTGAGTAAGAGGTCTCTTGTTGCTACTGTGCTTTATTTCATTCTGAACATTGTCATTGTCTTTACTGTTTTCCAATCACAGGGTGCCATACTAAGAATCAAGGTGAAACATCTGGCATCTAGGTCATACCAAATAATTAGTTTTCTTCTCTCCTTCCTGATTCCTTTGTTCTATTTATTTACTGCTCATGATCTCTGCTATCACCTTTTTGTTGTTTTTCAAGGATCTCTGTTTCAAGATGTATCACACACCAAACTGCTGTGTCAGAGGCAAGGAGCAGGTCACACATCTCCAGAAGCAGAAAGCAGGGAGAAGCAGAATCACAGAATGTTAGGGATTGGAAGGGACCTCAAAAGATCATCTAGTCCCAGCCCCCTGCCAGAGCAGGAACACCTACAGTAGGTTACACAGGGCTGCATCCAGGCAGGTTTTGAATGTCTCTGGAGGAGACTCCACAACCTCTCTGGGCAGCCTGTTCCAGTTTCCTGTCACTCTCACCGTGAAAAAGTTTGGCTTCTTGCAAACTGCACCGTCCATGACACAGTGTCCAAACTCTTTGCAATGCAGTGGACATGAAAGCGCTGTTGCCTTCAATGAAAGAGGGTCATAACCCACATCCTGTCCCTTCTGCATCCTGTTGGCTCCCTTACATCCCATTTCTGTTGCTTTTTGTAAAGAAATTGCTGTTAGCAGCAGAGTTGAAGCTGTATTGCTGCAGCCACGCCAGTGGTGCTGAACTGCTCATTGCCTTTTCCTGTGCTCTAGGATTTTGACATTGCCGGTCAGTTCGACCCCATGATTCCTGATGCCGAGTGCCTGAAGATTGTGCATGAGATCCTGAGTGACCTGCAGCTTGGGGACTTTCTCATTAAGGTGAGACCAGGTTTCTCTGTGCCATGGTGAGAAGCAGTAGTCATTGTTCTGTGTTTTTTTGCAGCAGCACGTGTTCCCACCCTAACGCCCACTAAGGCCTGATCCAGAAGTTAATCCCACCTCTGTCTTCTCATGGTGTATATGCTAAAAGGCTGGACCTCAGCTCTGACTTGCCATTAGCTGGGAATGCAGGGAGGTTTCCTGAGGCTGCAGTTAGCTGAGTTCTGTCTAGCATTAACCACAGTCCCCTGCAAAATATCCAGCAGCCAACTAACCAGGTGACTTATCATATTCACTGCCTGCAGTGAAACATGGGCTCTGGCCCAGGATCCCTGCCCTTGTCCCAGCACCCGATGCCCCCTTAGCAGGGACATCTCAGTGCGTACGCTGTGTGGTCTGTAGGCTCCTGCCTTCCCACCAAGTCCTTTCTGGGGCTGAGGCCTCTTCCAGAAGAAGTCTCATGCCCTGCTGCAGGTTCAGCTTGCTATTTGCTTCAAAACATCTCTGTTACCTTGGTGTGGCAGCAAATGGTGCTGGTTGTGCAAGTCAGGTGGGATGGGGAAGGGTGTACAGCAGTAGGAGAATGAAGGGTAGGAGCATCTGATGTGCAGGAGGGTGATGGGATCTCTGAGAGGGACTCAGAGCTGGGTTGTTGCTGGGCTCTGCAGGGGAGGTGAGCAGTGCAGGCTGGGTGTTGTGCTCCCATGTGCAGTTCCCACTGGATGGGGGGGCCGTTACCTGCCCTTGGACCTGTCTGGGATGAGCTGAAGAGCTGTGCACAGGAACTGCCTGTCCAGCTGCTGTGTTTGGGCAGTGGTGAAAACAGATGCCTTTGAGGGTGAGAAGGTAGCCTTGCAATGGGGAACAGCAGAATAACCTGCCTGTGGTTATTCTTGTCTTCCATGAGCCACTGGCTGGTTCATGTTGATGCTGGAGGATTACAAACTTGCAAGCAGTCTTTGTTTCTGTCTAATTTAATTGTAGATGTTCTCACTACCCATGGAAATGTTGAAGCCAGCTGAGCTTTTGGCCCCGATTATCTACTATTATAGAGCATAATTAAACTATGGAATTCACTATACCATAAAACCACAATCAGATGTCCCTTTGCTCTCACACTGAGAGAGCAGGGTGACACACCGACTTAATCTCCTGAAGTATCTGTTTGAGTTTGTAGTTAATGACTTGCTCTCTCTCCCTCAGGTCAATGATCGGCGCATCCTTGATGGGATGTTTGCAGTTTGTGGTGTCCCAGACAGCAAGTTCCGAACCATCTGCTCCAGCGTTGACAAACTGGATAAGGTATGGGCTGGAGCCCTGGGCTGCAACTGCCGCTGCTGGAGTTTCAGTGAGTCTCTGTCCCTCTGGGCTGCTCTTACATGAGAACTGGCTGGAAAATGCTGACAAACATCAAATTGTTCTTGATCCCCAATTTCTATGGAGGGGAGGTGTGCAGGGCACAGCAGTCACACAGGAAAACTGGATCCTATGCTTTCTTCTCCAGGATCCCATGAGGTCCTGACAAATGTAAAGGAAGGAGGGGAAAATGCTCTTCACATGTGAAGAGCATCCCAAAAAACATCCCAAACCTTAGCCTTCTTAAGGTGCTGCTGCTTCTGAACCAGGATCATGAAACTTGCCCCAGACTGGGCCAGGGCATTGAAAACCCTTTTCAAATGCATCAAGTTCAGTCGGGTGATGTAAGGAATTAGAGTTATGTCCTGGAATCCTAGAACAGCCCAGATTGGAAGGGATCTCAAAAGATCATCTGGTCCAACCTTTACTAAAAGTTCAGACCTCCATTGCAAGGTGAGCATGATATAAACACTAAATCTCTGTGGTAATGCAGGAGAAGTGCAATCATAAGTGATAATCTGTAATCCTAGTCTGTATGGCAGTTAGCTTGCAGGTCAGAGGTCTGAGTTAAATGGAAATCCACAGGTGAGTAGGCTGCCAGAGTTCTTGTGTTGTCCAAGGCCCTGTTCCTAAATAGTGTCCTGCAAGCTGGTGCTATTCTTGATTGGTGATGTATCCCTGCCGAGGACACAGAGTCTGCAGCACGTGCGTGTTGCTGGCCAGGCTATTTCAGTATGATCAGGGCACCACTGGACAGCATGTGCCTCTGGCTGTTTGTGGGACCCTCAGGAGGTGGTGAGGAGCAGCCGCCAAAGAGAAGCGAGGTGGACATGTATGGATGAGGCTTCTATATTTTATCTGGAAGAAGAGAAAAGGATTTGAAGTGAGAAGGAGCAAGATCAGAAACACAGACCTGAAAAATAACATCAGCAGCACATGCCCGCCTCCCGGGCAGGGGAAGGCTGGTCTGCTTGGTGTTGTACTGCACTGTGTGCCCTCACAGCGTGTCTTCACGCTCATCTGTGGATGCCACCAGTGGAAGCATGCTTTGCTAGAAACAGGGCTCTTTGGGGCTGGCCTGGACTGGGTGGACATGGTCACAGAGACAACATGCTGCTCAGCACCATAATCTCTCTTCCTGGTGCTGTGAGATGGTGGTAACCCTTCCCACATCTAGTCACTTCTTTCACACCTCTGCTGATTTGGGCATGTAGCGCAGGTACTTTTATAAAGCATGCTGTCTGTAGACATTGTTTGTATGGTTTAGTCAGGTTTGGTGTGATGCAGGACAACCCTCTATGCGCAGCTGCTCCTGTAAACACAACACAGGAGTTACCCACAGGTTTGTGCTCAGCAAGCTGTCTCAAGAGCACTGGCTGTTGTGAAGGTCTGAGGGATTCAGGCCCTTATGTGGCCCTTAGGGAGGAGGGAAAGGTGGCAGTATAGGTACAGATTGTTATTTGCAGCTGATTGTCTTGACTGTAGGCCCTAGTGAGATATTAAAGATGCTGGAGATCATTCTATAAATGTGTATACAGTCCTCCAGTAATAGCTAATGAAGATGAACCTTAAAATAAAGTGAAATCTAGAAACTCAGTTTTCTTGTCTCAGGATCCGAAGTAGAATTTGAAGGCAAATTTCTGTGTGTTCAAAATCATGTAGGGGACGCTGTGGGCTGACTGCTTAAAGGGAATGCTCCTAATGTTCCTGTGAAACCCTGTTGAACAAAGCAGCGTGTATCTCATCTCGTGTTCACCTTGCCTTGTCCAAGGATGAACTGTGTTTTCCTTTGGAGGCCTCATCTGATGGTTGAATGAAGTCAACTAGAGGAAGGCTTACTTAAAGTCCTGTTAGCAGTGAGATCTATTGCAAAGGCATGACCAAAGTGTAGGTTTTTGGGCTGTGTATGTGTTGAAAAGCAATAGGAAGGGAGGACTGGGCTTTTTTAGAACAGGATAACTTCCTTGGTTTGGTACTGAAATGCTGTGATCTATCTCAGTTTAGCTGGGTATGATCAAGACTCTGGTTCTCTTTGACCCCTTGGTCAGTGGGAAAACTGCAGCGTATACATAAGCAGAAGCTTACATTGGGTTTTTGCATCACCCAGCCATCTCCTCACACCTTTCCAGGTGGTAGGCATGACAGGCAATACTTTTTTGATTGGTGTTTACAACTAAGTACCTAACTAGGGAAACTACAGCTGCAAGACATCTCTCACACTTGGTGCTTTTACAGTACCAATGTTTGATTCTGGTCAGAAATCCAAACCAAAGTATTTGTCCTGGGACTTCAAGTTTTTGGGCAGCTTTGCTGACTGCAGGGTTGGGATACAAAGAGACTGAGCAGAGGTACAAGAAATGGAGTTACAACCATATGACCATGCTCTGGAGAGCATTTGATCTGCTGCTTCTCTCATGCATCTCTTAACCATGCTGGTGGGATTCTGCCATGTAAAGATCTGTTCAGGGCAGATATGTCTGTTCATCTGTATTGGGCAGGATCACCAGAGACCTTCCCCAGAAGAGACCACATCCCTGGAGCAGCAGCTGATGTTCTTGTTTCCCCTTGCAGATGCCATGGGA